TATATTATCATATGTTCTTTTAGGAGAGGTAAGATAGAAAGGTAAGGGATGCTGTGGCTCAGTGGCTAAGATGCTGAGCTTGTTGATCAGAGGTTTGGAAGTTCAAATCCCCAGCGCTGCATAACGGAGTGAGCTCCCGTTACTTGTCCCAGCTTCTGCCAACCTAGCAGTTCGAAAGCATGTAAAAAATGCAAATAGAAAAATAGGAACCACCTTTGGTGGGAAGGTAACAGCATTCTATATGCCTTTGATGTTGAGTCATGCCGGCGACATGACCACAGAGACGTCTTCGGACAGGACTGGCTCTTCGGCTTAGAAACGGAGATGAGCATCACCCCCTAGAGCCAGAAACGACTAGCACGCATGTGCGAGGGAACCTTTACCTTTATCTAAGATACAAATATAACAAAATTAAAAGTAGAATAACTCTTTACAACTCAGTGCCCTCAAGAAATTCTGAATGATGGCTCCCACCATCTGCTGATTTATCTTGGCATGATGGGGTTGGAGGGAATCAACTCATCAAGTTGGAAAAATCTGGGACGCATCCATGTTTATTTGGAATACGTGACAATTTCTCTATGTGCAACAGCTTTCCATTTCTGTTTTACAGTGCCAACCGGGATCAAAGATTTAACCCTTTATCCTTTGGGACCCACAGCTGTGGTCCTCAGCTGGAACAGGCCTTACCTTGGTGTTTTTCGGAAATACATTGTAGAGATGTTTTACTTCAATCCATCAACCATGACTTCCGAGTGGACCACGCACTACGAAATAGCAGCAACCGTCTCGCTCACTTCTTCAGTGGTAAAGTGAATTCAACGTACAATTCAAATATTTCTAAACAGACCACACCCACCCCCACCCCAACTAAAATATTCTACTGCACATAACAATGGGGATTATATAATCCGATAAAAGTCTAACTCGTATAATTGCTGAGAGAAAAAACAATTTATTAGGGCTATCCAAAAGCAATATGAGTATGAGACTAGGGCAGGGATGTCAAACTCAATTTCATTGAGGGCCACATCAGGGTTGTGTTTGACCTCGGGGGGGGGGATGAGTGGGCGTGGCCAGAGTGAGCATGGCCAGCATGATGTCACTTGGCGCCTGTGGTCGCCAAAGTGCTCTGCCAGCGAAAACGGGCTCCCGAGCTCCGTTTTCAGCTGTGACGGCCTCCTGCAAAACTCTGCCAGTGAAAACTGAGCTTAGGAGGGCCGCCCGCAGCGCTTGCAAGCTCTGTTTTTGCTTTCAGAGGCACTGTCCTTCGTTATTTCCAGGGCAGCCCTGCAGACCAGACCAGATACAGCCGGAGGGCCTTGAGTTTGACACCCCTGGACTAGGGCATTCAAGATGGTGTTTAATGACCATCCAAATTAAAGAGAAAAATACATGAACTGGTCGAAATATTTCCTGATTGCTTACACCCTTGGGAAAGTATGACCAGGCATTCTCACATTAGCTATTTCAGTGGCTAAGATGCTGAGCTTGTCAATCAGAAAGGTCGGCANTCCTTCCTTCCTTCCTTCCTTCCTTCCTTTCTTTCTTTCTTTCTTTTTAGGTGATGCATTTCCTTTATTGTTTTTATTTTAATGAACAAAGAGGGTTGGATTATACAGTCTACCAAGCCTCCGCTTAATCCCCTTAAGAGTTCTAGCAAATATCTGGAAAGGTGGCTGCATTTGGTTCAATCCCGTATGCAGAAATGGGCAGGTTGTACTGGCATGATTCTGTAGAGAAAAAAAAAAATCAAGAGGACAAATTCAAATTAATCCTTAAATCGCTTTTGAAAATCACTGCCTCAGTTTGATGGTAAGCTGACTAGCTGCTTAAAGCAAGGCATCCCCTGGGCAATGAGCCCTCCTGATCAAGGGTAGGCTTCAAAAATTTCAGCAATGGGTTCTCTACCTGGTTGTTGGGAGGGCGTGGCCATGGTGGGTGTGGCCTAGTCAGCCTCCTGCACCATGGCGGCATGTGTGTGTGTTTTCGCCTTCCCCAGGCTCTGAAGGCTTTCCTTGAGCCTTTGGGAGAGTGAAAAATGCCTTCCCCAGGTTCTGGAGGCCCTCTGGAGGCCGGAAACCCACCCATTTCTGGCCTTCCGGAACTTCAAGAGGCTCTTTTTCCCCCTCCCGGAGCCTCCGCGCGGGCCCTGCACTTACCTCACATCTAAAATGGGCCACATGGGAGGGGAGGGGCAAGGTGGGCAGGGTCAACCAGAGGTGGGATTTGGAGGTTCTCCGAACCGGCCATAATGTTAGCTACAGGTTCTCCCGAACCTAGGCAAACCCGTAGCAGCCCACCCCTGCTCCCAATCCCACAAACTTAGGGCAATAATTGAATGTTGGTAATATGCCTCCTGATCTTTTTCAGTTCCCTATCCACCGCGAAACGTTTCTGTACAAATTGTACGCAAGAATAGCCATGAGAACTGGGAAGAAGAGCACAGTGGGAATTCCCCAGAACAAACCTTCATGGAGACCCAGAATGTTATTGGGCAGGAAAAAGTTACTCCTATGTCGGATGAGATATCTGAGATCCCAACAGTGAACGCTTCCTATATTTGGCCTGATTATCCCGCGAACAGCAGTGATTATGAAAGCACATCCCAGCCTGATTGGTGGACTAATGAATCTGAGGATGAGAATGAGTTTGTTAATGCAGTGCCAAGGGATTATGAGAACCTCATTCCAACTGTTGAACTCGGAAAACCTACTTCGGGAACTCCATCATTCCTTCCAGTGCAAATGGTGTTGAGCTGGTTACCTCCAAAGCTGCCCACAGTATTTGATGGCTTCCACATTCGTATTAAGAGAGAAGGTAACTTTACAAGCAACATAAATCAGAATGCTGGCCCTGGAAGTTTAAGCTAAGATGCTGAGCTTGTCGATCAGAAAGGTCGGCAGTTCGGCGGTTCGAATCTAGCAACTAGCACATATGTGCAAGAGGAACCTTTACTTTTACCTTACGGTTCTAGACTGCACATATCAAATTATGTTTGTCAAAGATATGTAGGTAGAGACTTTCTTTCCACATAATTGGATTTTACTTTAAGAATAACTTGATTAAGGCAGCCCTGAAACCTGTTTGGCTTCTTTTGATACATAACAAAGTTCTACTTAACTATTGTCTTAGTTTGACTTACTGTTCTTAACTGAGAGGTTCCTTGTTTCTTTCAAAAGTATAATTAAATATGAACATTTTTAAAATATGTTTTGACCTGGGTGATTTTGTTGGCATAAATATGTCATATTTTAAAATGTTATTTTTGGAGTCTAGACACTCTCCCCCCCCTTTTTAATCTGGAAAACAATTGGGCCATAGTTGGAAAATGCCTTCTTCAGATGTTCGATTGTCTTCAGTTTTATGCTAGCTTGAATGGATTCCTTGATAATTAGTTCAAGGGAATTTGCTCAGTTGAGAATTTGTAGCCTCTTGGCTACAGCCATTCCCAATTGTTGGAGAGAGATATCCTAAAAGGTAAAAAAAACCAAAAAAAACCCCAAATTAGCACTCTTAAGCATTTAGAATAGTAGACATTTTTTCCAGAATTGTTTCAATTGCAGTTTAGTCTCATATATCATCTCCTATCTTGATTTAGAGAACTTCACGGAATTCCTGACAGTTGGAGAAGACGTTCATGAACTTGTCACTGATCTAAAAGAACCAGGGAAATATACCTTAACGGTTACAACATTTAGCTCCTCCGGATCATGCGAAGCGCGGGAAAGCCAGTCTACCCAAACCCTTCGCTTTTATATTAGTAAGTTTAGATATTCGTATGATCTCTACGGGTAGCTGTAAAAAATTACAGTCATTTTCTCACTAGTGATTTACAACACCTTATAGCTTCATCCAGCTATCTTTGCGGCAAGATAAAGTGTCTCTTCATGATGATTTATTGGTATAGCAATGGTTGGATGATGCTGTAACACACTATAAATCACTAATAAAAAAAATGACCTATAGCTAGTTAATGTTCTGGTTCATCGGTGATAAATATTCTTTCTATTTTATTTGCTTGTGTTCGGTATTTATTAATTTCCATCCCATCCTGCTATCTACCTGAGCCGTAAATAGTCCTGGGAACAACATGAACTGATGCAACTTCCTTTGCATGAGAAAACACTTGGCATGTGTTGCATCTTTATAATATTTGTTTTCTTTGCAAGTAAAGAATAAGTACCGTGTTTCCCCCCAAATAAGACAGGGTCTTATTTTCTTTTGAAACCCCCCTCCAAAAATAGGCATTTGGCCTTATTTTCGGGGAGGTCTTATAATTTTTGAGGTGCAGGAAGAAGCGAGCATGGTCACCTCATGGCTGCTGCTGTGTTGCAATATTTTCAGGGAGGGCTAATTTTTGTGGGAGGGGTAATTTTAGTGCATGCGCTCAAAAGCCCGATTGGGCTTATTATCCAGGAAGATCTTATTTTTAGGGAAACAGGGTACTAAAAAGTAATCATACTGGATAGCATTGGAGCAACTTTTGGAAGGTACTGTTTTACTCTGATCCATCTCCGAAAGAACTGTCTGCTCTTTCTACCCAACAGCCTCTCCTTCCCTATTATATCATCCTCTTTCTTTTCTTTATTAATTCATAATATAAAATACAAAAGAAAATAGTAGGAGAATAAGAGAGGGAGAAAGAAGGGAAATTATAGGGAAAAGGGAAAAAAGAAAGAAAAAGTGTTAATTTCTGACTCCTTTAGTGCAGTAGAATACAATAATAGCAATAGCACTTAAACTTATAGACTGCTTCATACTGTAGTGCTTTTAAAGCCCTCTCTAAGAGGTTTACAGAGTCAGCCTATTGCCTCCAACAATCTGGGTCCTCATTTTACCCACCTCAGAAGGATGGAAGTCTGAGTCAACCTTGAGCCTGGTGAGAGTCAAACTGCCAAATTGTAGGCAGCCGGCAGTCAGCAGAAGTAGCCTGCAGTACTTCATTCTAACCACTGTGCCATCACTGCTCATTAAGCAGAATATGATAATAACATCAAACTTCAACTTTCTCCTTTTTATACAATAGTATAAATTAGCCATGTCTATAACAAATAACCTATCTAATCGGTAAAACTCCAAATCGAAGTTTTATTTCCCTGCCACCTCAAGCACAAAGTCCAGAAGCGGTTTCCAATTAGAAACGAAGGTAATTCTGTTTTTTCCCCCTTTAATCAAAAGCAGTCAATTTAGCCATCTCTGCTAACTCCATAAACTTTTCTAGCCATTCATCCCTGGTGGAAATCAAAGTGTCCTTCCATTTTTGTGCATAAAGTACTCTTGCTGCTGTCAACACTATATAACATCAAACTTCCAATTTTTTCCCAACTGTTTTTCCATTAAACCCAAAAGGAAAGTTTCTGATTTTATCTTTATATATCCTCCTCTTTCTTACACAGACACACACCCTTCCTTCCTTCCTTCCTTTCTGCTCAGCTAGAGGATTCTCATTCTGATGGCTATCTCATTAAGGAACCACAGAGAAATGATTGAAGGACCATCTTCTACCTCCAATCAGAATGATGCAGTTCCTTTAGCTGGCAGGGCAGGAGAAGTGGCAAATTGGATCTTGTCTGCCATCTGCTGCCTTCCCATTTCATCTCCCAAACCAACCACCACTCTTTAAAGTGGCTTATCATACTGACAAGGGATGTGGTGGCTCAGTGGCTAAGACCCTGAGTTTGTCGATCAGAAAGATCGGCAGTTCGGTGGTTCGAATCCCTTGCGCCATGTAATGGAGTGAGCACCCATTACTTTTCCCAGCTTCTGCCAACCTAGCAATTTGGAAGCATGTAAAAATTCAAATAGAATAAATCAGAACCCTCTTTGGTGGGAAGGTAACAGCATTCTGTACTCCTTCAGCATTTAGTCATGCCAGCCACATGACTACAGAGAGGTCTTCGGACAGCACTGGCTCTTTGGCTTTGAATCGGAGATGAGCACCGCACCCTAGAGTTGGGAATGACTAGCACATATGTGCAAGGGGAACCTTTACCTTATCATTCTAACACACTCTCCATGACTTGCTCTGAGAATGAACAGAAGGTATACTTTGCAAAGGGCTGCAGCATCTGCCTGTGGGCATGCTTGCAGAATATCCTTAATTTTACTACTGAATTTACCAGGTTTATATATATAAAATACCCTGAACCCAAAGCTAATCGAACGGGCTTGGTTTACATAACACCTTAAGTCCAAATCTTCAAACAAAACCAAGGCTAAAACACAGGTAGTCCTTGACTTACAACCACAATAGAGTCCCAAATTTCTGTTGCTAAGCAGGACAGTTGTTAATTGAACTGTGCTCTGTTTTACAACCTTTCTTGCCACAATTGTTAGGTGGATCACTGCAGTTGTTACATTTGTCTGGCTTCCCCATTGACTTCGCTTGCCAGGAGCCACAGTGGTGCAGTGGTTAGAGTGCAGTACTGCAGGCTACTTCTGCTGACTGCTGGCTGACTGCCATTCGGCAGTTCAAATCCCATCAGGCTCAAGGCTGAGTGTGGTGGGATTCCAAGGTCAATAAAATGAGGACCCAGATTATTGGGGGCAATGTGCTGACTCTGTAAACTGCTTAGAGAGGGCTGTAAAAACACTATGAAGCGGTATATAAGTCCAAGTGCTATTGCCATTGTCAGAAGGTCGTAAAAGATGATCGCATGACCCTGGGACACTGCAACTGTCATAGATATGAGTCCATTGCCAAGTGTCTAAATTTTGATCATGTGATCATGGGGGGGGAGTGGATGCTGTAATAGTTGTATGTGTGAAAATTGATCATATGTCATTTTCTTCAGTGCCATTGTAACTTTGAATGGTCAT